AGAATTGACTAACACCAGAAACTTGGTAATCAGTTTCAGGGTAGGATTCATACTTTCATGGACATAAATGTCATTGTAATATATCTAATTTGATTTTATAAAATGGTCATTTCTCTGAATCTTTTTGAATTCCACAGTGCTTTTAAAATAACCATAGTGTGCTTGTTATTACATCTGCAGAATGTCCTCAGTTTGAAGCTTGTCTCCAGTAGCACTAGGAGGATGGCTTTTGCTCTTGTTGTTGTTGTTTATTGTAAGAGTTGTAAGAGCTCTTTTTATACTGAATATTAGACCGTTATCAGATATGTGATTTGGAAATATTTTCTTCCATCCTGTGGATAGTCTTTTCACTGTCTTGCTGATGTCCTTTGATGCATACATTTTTAATTTTGATGAAGTCTATTTTGTCTATATTTTCATTGGCTGTTTGTGCTTTTGTTGTCATATCTAAGAAACTAATGACTATTCCAAAATTAAAAAGATTTACACCTATGATGTCTTCCAGGAATTGTATAATTTAAGCTTGTATACTTAGATGTATGATGCATTTTGTGTTAGTTTTTGTGTACGGTGTGAGGTAACGGTACAGCTTTATTCTTTTGGATGTGGGTATTCAGTTGTTCCCACACCATATACTGAAAAGACTGTTCTGTTCACCACTGAATTGTCTTGGCACCCTGTTGAAAATGAATTGACCATAGCTGGAAGGGTTTATTTCTGTCCTCTCAGTTCCATTCTGTTGATCTGCATCTCTACCAGTACCTCACTGTTTTGACTACTTAGCTTTGTAGTGAATTTTGAATTGGGAGGATGTATGGTCTATCCTGGAGAATGTACCATGTGTAATTGAGAAGAATGTGTATTTCACCCTTACTGGGTAGAGTGTTCTATAGATGTCTGTTAGGTATAGTTAGTTTGTATTGTTCAAATCTTCTATTTCTTTTTTGATCTTTTTTTGTAGGTGTTCTTTTTATTATTTAAAGTGTGATGTTTAAGTTCCCAGCTATTATTGTTGGATTATCTCTTTCTTCCTGTAATTTTGTCAGTTTTTGCTTCATTTCTTTTGAGCTCTGTTGTTATATACATGTATATATATGCATACATCTTGATTGACTCTTTTATCCTTATAAGTAAATGTGATTTTACTCTGGTAACAATTCTTGTCTTAAAGTGTATTTTGTCTGATATTAGTGCAGCTATGATAGTTCTCTTGATATGTATTTCCATGGTGTACCTTCTTCCATCCTTTTTCTTTCAATGTATTTTTATCTTTGAATCTAAAGTGTATCTCTTGTAGACAGCATGTGGTTGGATCTCTTTTATTTATTTGTTTATTTTAAAGATTTTATTTATTTATTTGACAGAGAGAGACACAGAGAGGGAACACAAGCAGGGGGAGTGGGAGAGGGAGAAGCAGGCCTCCGGCCAAGCAGGGAGTCTGATGCGGGGCTCGATCCCAGGACCCCGGGATCATGACCTGAGCCGAAGGCAGATGCTTAATGACTGAGCCACCCAGGTTCCCTGGTTGGATCTCTTTTAAACATGATGCCAATTTCTGTTTTTTTTTTTTTTAAATTCCATTTTATTTAGTCCATTTACATTTAGTGTAATTACTGATAAGGTAGGATTTATATCTGCCATTTTGCTATGTTTTCCCTCTGTCTTAAGTCTTTTTTGTACCTTACTATCTCCTTTTGTTGTTAGATATTTTTAATTGCATCACTTTAACTGCATTGTCATTTTTTTCTTAAAGGTTTTATTGATTCACCTTTAGAGAAAGTGCGCATGCATGTGAGTCAGATGCTCAAACAACTGAGCCACCAAGGCACCTCTCTTTTCTTGTTTTTTGTTTGTTTGTTTGTTTTTTATTAGTCTGCCCTAGAGATTGCAGTTTACTTTTTAACTTATGTCAGTCTTTTTCAAAATTACATCAGCTTAATTTTAACAGTAAACAAAAACTTTGCTCCTTCTTTAGCTCTGTCTTTACCTGATCACTTTTGTGTTGTTTCTGTCATATACGTTGCAGCTTCATACATTGTGTGCCCATCAACACAGAATTGCAATTAGTTCTTCATGCAGTTGTTTTTTAAATCAAACGAGGAAAAAGGAATTACAACAAAAACACATTTATAGTTTTGTCTTTCCCTAAGTAGCTACCTGTATTAGTGTTATTTTTTCATGTGGATTCAAGTTACTTTTTAATGACCTTTCACTTTACCTTAAGGACTCCTTTTAACATTTCGTGTAGAACTTATCTGCTGTTGATGAATTCTCTGTTTTTGTTTACCCAAGAATACATTAATATTTCCATTTTTGAAGGATAGCTTCACTGGTTATAGAATTCTTAGTTGACAGTCTTTTTCTTTTAGTACTTAGAATGTGGAATCCCATCGTCTTCTGGCCTCCGTGGTCTTTCTTGAGAAATCAGCTCTTGCTCTTATTGAGAATCTCTTTCACATGATGAGCAGCTTCTCTCTTGCTGCTTTAAGATCCTCTCTTTGTCTTTGTCTTTCAACGTTTTGATGATGATGTACCTAGGTGTGGGTCTCTTTGAGCTTACCCTACTTTGAATTTTTTGAGCCTCTTGGATGGTAGATTAAAGTTTTTCATCAAATTTGGGAAGTTTTTAGCCATTATTTTTCTATATAATCTTTTTGCTCCTTACTTTCCTCTCCTCTGGGTATCACATTATGCATATGTTCATGTTTGATGGTGTCCCACAGGTCTCTGAGACCCTGTTCATTTTTCCTTATCTTTTTGTATCTTCTTCCTCAAACTGGATAATCTCAATTGATCTACCTTCAGGTTCACTTATTCTCTCTTCTGCCTAGTTATATCTGCTGTTGAACTTCTCTGGTGAATTTTTCATTTCACTTACACTTTACAACTCAAAAATTTATTTGGATTCATTATTGTTTTCTATAGCTATATATTTTTTTTTTAAGATTTTATTTATTTATTTGACAGAGAGAGA